GTGTGTGTGTGTGTGTGTGTGTGTGTGTCAAACAAACCCATTCACTCTCCTCTCTGACATGGTATAAATAGCCTAAAGAGCAACCGGGGGATTCGCCCTCATGTCATAGATAAGTGTCTAAATATCAGCAGCTATTAGCCTGCTCGTCTCCTCGCGGCTGCTCGCCTCGTCTTAAACGGCTTTACGTGACTGTCACTCAGCCTCAGACGCTCGAGATGCACAAAATATAACCTGAATTAAAAAAATGTATACATTTGTTATTTTGGTAGCAACATACATTAGCGTAGCTTAGCGCCAAGACTTGAAATAGAGGAGAAAAGCTAGCCGAGACTGCAAAGGTAATGTGCTGCAGTGCTTTTTGGGCGCTGTGCTTCCTGCAGTCTTCGCTGGTTGCCTAGCAACTGCAACCTGAGTTTGGTGTGAAAAAACTTGACTGACCTCAAAATCATCTAACACCTTTGGGATGAGCTGCAGAGCACGAGCCAAAGACTCGTCACCCATTGTCAGCCATCATCATGGACTGACCTCCTCGAAACTCATGGAGCTGAATTAAATTTTAAACATTATAATTAGAGCAAGAAGACAAAAAGACAAACATATGTACAGACTGTTTTCTGCGCCAGCCTTCGTGTGTGTGGGCTTGAGGATAGAGTGTGGGTAAGTGTGTGTGTGTGTTTACCCTGTGATTAATTATGCATAAAATTCAGCACACCTTCGAATTGTGTTTGGCAAAAATAAATCTCTCTGAGGACTCTGTGTGTGTATGTGTGTGTGTGTGTGTGTGTGTGTGCTTATGACAGAGGATGAGAAATCGCAGCGGGGGAAAACAAACACAACAGCAAAAAACAAGGGAATATTTCTGAATATTGCATCATTTCAGTTTTTAATTGTGGTTATTCCTCATTTCAGTTTTTAACATATATATTTTATTAAGCTTCTGGATTTTCTGTGTGTGTGTGAGTGTGTAAGAATGCACTGTCTGGCAGCCCTGAACAGTCAATATGCGCAAACAATGCCAGACCTGACTAATCAATAGGGAGCAATCATGAAGCGAGAGTGAAGATAATCACTTAAACAGATTGGGATCATAATCAATGGCCGCACTAATTGTCCTCCATCACGCAGCTGATATCCACACTCAGAGTTAGTCGTTTACAATCAACGGCCAAAAGAGCTTCAAGATTATTATTAAACACAAACTTCGAGACGTCATTAATCAAAAGTTAATTACAACAATAATGTGCATTAAAACGTTACGTAGCCGTATGATTACCCTGCTCTGATTGGCTGATAAGTACACGTTAAAAATTCTTATAAGATCAGAAAGTGTTTACACTTTGGCGCCCCCTGGTGGTACTATCAAGAAAGACACTGTGGTAGAACCCCCTCCTATAGATCTGAGCAGAGACACTGAGATGGAAAACAACACAAACACAAAGACAAAATCGATTTCGTCATAAATAAGCGGTGAATCACATAAAAGTTCAACACAGAGTTGCTGTGGTTGGAGCCGCATTCAAGGATGTAATACCTCGTAAAAAAGATCTTCCTTTTAAAATAAATGTATATCTTTAACCAAAAGGAAATCAGTCGCAAAGGTCTCTTATCATGAAAATGGGTTTTGACTGTTTTTTTTCATCAACTCAGATGTAAAATATGAAATCCAATTTTCTTCTCCACCACAACAAGATGTGAACACTTCCAACAACCTTCACAAATAAAATAGCCACGGTCCTTAAAGCTCAAGACAAGTTAACACGCTGTCTACATGAATGAAGTCAGAGCATCACCTGACCGATGGTTAAATAAAATATACACGTACAGAATCATCAGTGAGAAGTGATAAATCCACGTGAAAGGTTTGGCGACTTCACCATCAAAATAAAATGTTGCTCATTACATTGACTAATGGTGCAGACATGCGCCATCTTGTGGGATTAAAGACTTTTCTAGAGCAGTGGACATCATGTCCTCGGACCCCTATGATCAACATATGCTTCTTAAAACAGTGATAAACAGTAACTGACCCTTACTGTGAAGAGACTAAATGACCAAAGTGATCATTAAGCCTAAATATTTCACAGAGGAAGCTTCTCTGGATCAGTGTTTTCAACAACCCGACATTACGTAAACATCGAGCATATTGTGAAGTGACAGCGACAACGACTCATCCTCCCACCATGAACTTCCTCACAGCTGAGGGAGGGAGAAAGATAGAGAGAGGAAGAGAGAGCGAGGATGAAAAGGCTGAATACTACAGGAAGTCAGTGGGATGAAAAGTGCAGAGTTCTCCATTAAGATGTACACACCAAGTTTGTGTGTGTGTGTGTGTAGCAGCCAACAGTTCATGTCACATGTGGAGTTTATCTTCACACCTCACACACTGCATCCTGTCTTCTTTTCTCCCTCGCTCTCTCTATTCATCCTCATTTCTCTTTCCTCCATCTACATCCTGCACCCCAGCATAGCCAAAAGCAGAGTATAGTTTCCCGACTATCTCTGTGTGTGTGTGTGTGTGTGTGTGTGTGAGCTTATCCTCAGAAGATTAACTTTTGGAGCTGATCAATACAAAGTCAAAGATCATGGTCTGCAAAATGAAGCTCTGAAAAACATGTTTTTCAAGATCTCTCAAATAATAGACTAAAGCGTGTATTGATCACACAATGATTCCACATTATATATGATGAGTGGCGTCATGAAGATGTCAGAATGGAAGTCAGAATATTACGTCCTGCATAGTGCATGAATACATTTTTCCAGGTATCTCTGCATCTCATTGGATTTAGACACGACCTGAAGCTTATATACGGAACGATTTCATGTTCATGTCTGTTTCCTCAATTATATGACACACAAAGTGCTGATATACACAAAGTAACAAGCTGTGATGTCATAATTTCACATGTACACACAGCTAAACGGAAACCGAAAAAGTTAGTGACTAATAAAGCTGTTTGCATGTGGACGAGAGGCTCACACAGAGGGAAAAAGTTCATTTTGCAAATGATCTGCCTACAGTGGGATGTATACAGTGTGTGTTCAGGGTATGCATCATCCCCTTGATGCTTTTCATTCATTCACGTCTCCTCGTTGCTCTTTGCGTCCTCTCCCATCGGTTTCATTTCCCTTTTTAACTTGACCACAGAAACACACACGACTTGTCTTTTCCAAAAACAAACACCATCCTCCCTCTCTTCCTCACACAGGCCTTCAGCCGAGGCTGAGCTGGCACACACACACAAACAAAACTGATAAACACACACATGCGCGATCGCACACACACCATTGTAGGGACAGGCTCGGCTGCTCTGGGTTTTCCTGGAATAGAATGGAGCAGAATAAACAGCAGAGACCGTGACACCGACCTGTTTGACGCGGTCTGGGTTGACGGTGGTCTGTGGCTGCAGGATGCTGACCGGCTCTGTCTTCTGGGTGCTCTGAGGCATCTCCCTCACCTTCTCAGCAATGAAGTCATGGACGCCGTTCAGCGCCTCCACCGTGCCCTGGATCAGACACACCCGCTCTGTCGTCCCTGGACATAAAGACAAAGGCAAACAGGTCATGATGTGAGTTCAAAGTGAAGCAAAGAGCTTTTGCAAAGAGTCTTTCTGTGACTTGGATAAATGAATGCTTCCTGTGCACGATGTCATACATAAACAACGATGAGGAAGTCATTCCACATCATATATGAAACATTTATTTCCATCACACTTCTCTATTAATGTGCCAACTTTTCCACTGATACAGCTTTGCTATATTTAGGATTTTTTTAAATAGCGGCTGTTTCTACTCAGGTTTTCTTTAAAACATTTCCACAGGTGGGTGGAAACTCTGGGAGCAGGTAAAGCATGGATCTTCTGTCCTAGTTCTCACTTGACGACTCAGACTTTTCTATTTCCATCATTTTTATGTGCAGTTGAATGAAAATAAATCAAAAAAGTGAGAGCTGTGAGAAGAAGGATACAAAGAACCAGTAATGATCCCCTCTGGGAAATTATGCTTCCTGCTGCAGCTTCGTAATAACGGTAAGGATTTAAAAATAAAAAACTTTAGACATAAGATTGCACTGCTCAAGGAAAAACTGATTTTGGCCGAGATGCAATTTAACACAACGCTGCAAGAAAGAGATGAAACAAAGCAAGTTTGAAGCTAAAAGTCTAAAATAAATGAAGCCATCTAAAAATCTTCTTGACCTCATTCAGAAATCACCAGTGTTAATATTTCCGCTGCGTCTTCCTCCACTGAACGCTTCAGAAAAACTCAGCTCAGTTTACGTCTGTTTCCAGGACGTCAACATTCATTCCCCCGGTCACATGAAAAATAAAACACGCTGCAGTGATTTCCAAACCTCGGCTTCACTTTGGGCAGAACGTGTGCGTAAGCATTAAAAGCTGCAAAGTCGAGATTTATTTCAGCTTCAAATAAACTGGCTCAAGTTTATTTCACAAACTGAGATGCTGTTGAGGTGCAGAGGATTTACAATCGAGCACTTTACAATCCCACTAACTGAGATTTATGTTCTCGGAGAAAAGTCATAACATAGCAGAACAGAAGACTTGCAGGAAATAAAAGAAGTAAATGGAGGGAGACTATATTTGTTGTATGTGTGTGAATATATATGTGCATGTTGCAGCTTATGCACTTGTTACCCAGGATTGTATAACCACACAAAACACTGTTTACAAGATTAGAAACTAAGTGACTGAATCTGTGATCAAGAGTAAATCAAACAGAGCAGTCTGTGTTAACACAATGAGTCAAGCATATTTGAAATGAAACAGTAAAGATGAGGTCTTAGCTTCAATCTGTTTGAAACCATAAAAGATGCAGTGCAGGGACTAAATGTAACAAGGAATTATATATATGAACTCTAGGCACTATAGGTACTCAGTCCTCCTGTGAAACTACATTTAAATCCACAAGATCCAGATTTTTATTCTGATCTGCACCAAATTCACCCACTCATAAATATCAACCCCCTAAATATGACAGATTTTCATCAAGATCCATGAATTATTCTCTTAGAAATCAACAGAAATTGTGAAAATATCTTCTCTCAAAATGTTAAAGAAAGTAAAACAAAACTGTTGGATCTGCAACACAATTCGTCCTTGACCCACAACCTTTTCTTCCACCAAAAGAAACGCAGACAAAAACAAACAAACATTTCAAATACCTGAACAAAGTGTGATCTTTATACTCTGATGTTCACACAACACATTTATTTTTTTAAACTATTTTATGTAAGTGAATGAAACTGAAAGCTGCCTGGAGATACCACAGTGTGATAGTTGGATATCAGCGCTTTAATATCAGAGTCAGTGTTTCAACATCAGAACAATGAAGAACGCATCACTGGCCCAGTGCTTCAGGACTTTTTAATAGATGAATACGTTAATAAATACATCATCTTATATTCTGAGAGCAGACAGACGGACGGGCAGACAGACGGACAGAAAGACAGGCAGACAGAGAGACAGACAGACAGACAGAGGAGAATCTAGGCCAAAGCAAAGCCTCTCAGTCTGACTTTATCTGAACAACACACTGAAAGTAAATCTCTCTTTGGCCATCACTCTCTCTCTCCCTTTTAGCCTTTACTGTCTCTCTCTCTACTCTCTTTCTCTTCCTCACTCTCCCTTCCTTCCTTCCTCCCGCCTCAAACTCTCTTTCCTTCCCTTTCGTTTCCTCCTCCATCTCTCCCCGCTCCCTCCCTGGACTCCAGCATTTAGTGGGATCTGCTCTTATCTGGGCCCAGCAGTGAGTCAGTTCCCGTCTCCTCCCTCACACTGCATTGTTTGCCCGACTCCGTTTGGCCCGGCTCGGCCCTCCGTGGCTGCACTGAGAACAGGGGCGCAGAGGGAATGAGGGATAAAAGCTGCGCTGTGTATGTGAAGGGGGTTTGGGAACGGATTGTTCATCGAGGTGCCAGAGTCCAAGATCAAAAATGCTCTTTCAAAGCTCAGAAAATACACAAGTGCAGCAAAAGAAGAAAAGGAAAGCAGAGCAATTCTCAGAAGATGTACAAAAACATTATTTTTGTAATTTTTTTCCAGGATGAATCTAAATTCTGCAACTGAACAATGAATATTTTTATGTTAATTTGTAAGATTTCTCTCGTTTTAAAGCCTAAAATGTTGAATTGAGGACTCAAGCGAATGTGAGAAACAACAGAGGCTAAAAATAAAACACAGCACATTCAGGCATCCACAGCTTTTGGCTACCTGGCCCCTTCTCATGTCTGTCAGCATTACAATGGGATTAAATCCCATTCCTATTTTTACAGCGTGTGGACAGCAGTCACAAACAGTCACCGATGACAGCGGCTTCAGTTTCGGACAAATGAACGCGACCAATCACAGAGTGTGAGGATTCAGGTGCAGCCTCACGCTAACATTCTGTGGTTAAACATTTCAGCATCAGTTTGCATTTCATCCAGTGTCAGTGAGCAGAGTGACATGTCTGAGTGTGTGTGTGTGTGTGTGCGGATAGTGAGGAAACTGGGCCTTGCCTCTCTTCGACAGCTGGTGCCCTCTGGGTAATCTGGATTCATCCAATCAGAAGCAAGGATTAACAGGCCATTGTCTTGGCATCAGTGTGTGAGTGTGTGTTTGTCTGTTGTGTGTGTGTGTGTGCCAGTGTGTGTATGTGTAGTGTAACCGCAGAGGGAAAGGCCACTCTGTCAGTGGAGATCATATTGAAGCTGTTGTGCAGCTGAGCCACTGGAGCAAAGACCTGCTTTGTTTCATTACAAAATATTTACCTAAAAGGTCATTTAATAATGAGGGCAGGCGATAACGATCATGTTTAGAGCGGCAGGGTCGAGCTTTATCCTCGGTTCATCTGTGTTTTACTTTACATTGGCATGCTCGTGTCTCAGTGTCATGTCGTCCTTGCAGGAAACGCTCAGACTCAAAAACACAGACGCATAAATGCCAAACCAGTGCCAACAAAACAGAATTTACACTTCTCACAGATTGAGAGAGAGCTCTGCTAGCAGCTTTCACTGGTCCCACTGGTGCAAGACATCAGTGTGTGTGTGTGTGTGTGTGTGTGTGTCTTGGTACGTAACTTTTGCATCTCCTCTTGCAAAATGCACCTCGTCATTTGACATTTTAACGGTTGGAAGCAGATTCCAAACCTGACGTGCTGCAGCTGCTGAAGTAATATCTGCTCCATGTTGAATTTAAATAACTTTATGAGACATTTTCCATGTTGCTCATGTCGACACAGAACACAGCAAGAAAAAACGATTCAATGCATATTTAATGTTTCTCCAAACAATGTGCATGGACACAGTCAAGACTCTTAGCTCAGAGGTTAAAAAAACTACTGATTTCATATTCCAGGTACTTTCAGATGAAGCTTGTGGTTTGTGTTTGTAAAACAAGAACCACATTTGCAACCACTGCCACTGAAGTGTATTTCAGACCACCTTGTTAAAGTGCTGATAGGTATGTTTGAGAAGAAGATGGAGTTAAGACATAAACCAGAGATAAGTACAGCATTTGGGAGAATCAGATCTGCACTACAGTCAATGAGTCACGTTTCATACACTCTCACAACTTTCATGTTTTGGAAAGTTTCAGGTCAGGAAGTTGTTACGTTTCTGAGATGAAAACATCTGCAGCAGCACCGGCAAGGAATTATCAATAATATCTATTACGTCATGGTCCTGCTTCTGTATATGTGCTGCAGCAGTTTACAGCTCCAGAGAAAACTGCTGCGTCAAGTACAAAATGTACAAGAGGTTCAAGTCGTGGAGCTCTTAGTCCTGAATTCCTAAAATTCACCCCAGACGAGGATTTCTGCTCGTCACTTCCACAGTGTCCAAGTGACCCAACATTAAATCATCATCACCATCATCATCATGGTCCAGGCTGTGGACCCTGTTTCTATTAGAGTCGAGCTAGCATGACTCACTCCTTCCTCCTCTGCTCTCGTCCTCCTCCTCTTCTCTGAGGACCGGAGGAGGCGAGCAGAAATCACAGCGAGCCGCTTCTCTTCTGATTTCTGACTCACAGGAGCTCACAGAAAACATATGCATGCTGAGTAAGACTATGCATGCTGATGCTGCTGGAGAAAGCGACACGTTCCTCGGTGCTAAAACCTGGACACAGAGACAGACGCTGTGCGGACGTGTCCGTCAATCCTGCAGAGGGAGGGAACAAATCGGAACGGAAGGGGATGTGTCGTGTCTGTTTGTGAATATCGTGGTTTGCAGACAACGATTCAACATAAGCAGAATAGCCTGAGTCAAACGGTGAAGTGAGTTCTCGACGGTCAGTAAGAGGAGAGCGGTGTAGCCTCACGCTGACCGCTGCAGTCATGTAGTTACACAGGCTCCTCGCTGTAAAGATAACTCTGTGCGCTCAGCCTGTTAATTGCAGCAGAGCGATCAATCCGCAGCCAGCAGCCGTGATTCATTCCCTCCAGCCTCCTCCAGCCGAGGGTGGAGAGAGTTGGCCGCTGTGGGCTGCCGTACCCGACAATAAAGACAGATTACTCAGAATAGTCACCGGTTTCTAACGC